CACCGCCCTGCTCCGGCTCTCCGTCGTCTTCTCGCGGGCGCCTGCGGGTGGCAGGATCCACCAACTTCGGTCCCCGAGGTACTGGGACGTGTACGTCGCAGTGGTGACTTCCGTCGTGAAGTGGAGCGTGTAGACACTGGGCCTTGCAGAAATGAACCCTTCCGTCAAGAAAGAAAGAACAATCAGAGGTGCACGCATGTCCACATCCCCACAGACACCTCAGCCGATCGGTCTGCTCCATCGGAACTCGAATGATCATGTTAGATTGGTTACGGTACTGTCGGAACGCCTCCCTCCTGTGCCAACGTCGTTTGAAGCCTTCTGGTAGAGGTGGAGGCGGGTCAGGTAGATCTCCTGGGGCTATACCTCGCGGGTACTCTCGCGCACGTCGAAAAATTTCAGGAGTGCTCGCTGAAAGCTCAAGCTCGTCCAGTGCGGCATGAAGTCGAGTTGCAACGTCAGCTGGAATTGGAAGATCGCGAACCAGACGGCGGCGCTGCCCGATAGATCGTCCAATGACGTGCGAGACCAGGTCTTCGGTGGACTGGATCCCGAGGAGGCGGAAGTTATCCAGCAATGCTCCGAGCCCCCGGTCCGTGAGCCAGCGCTCAAGCGTGCCATCGGCCAACCTGGAGCCCCCGGAGGACATCAGGCGACCGCGCGGCACCAGCAGCAGCCGCGAGCGCCAGGGGGCCGCCAATTGCCGCGGCGAGGAGGCCCCGAGACGCTGAGAGGAGAAGGCCCCCGGGGGCAGGGGGCGTCGCCGGCCGGCTGCGCAAGCCACCTCGAGCCGGGATGGCTTGAGCCAGGCTTGAGCCAGGGCTACGGACTGGTGGGGTTACGCGAAGCGTCTAAAATTTTGGGTTCAGCGACAGGCTGCCATGTCGCGTCGGTTGCGCTGGGTTGCCCTGGTGCGGCAGCGGCCTTGGCCTTGGCCACTGCTTCAGCTTTTGGTGCTGTGCTTGTTCGTGGAGGAGGTGGCAGCGGCAATGTGGCGAGGTGCTCTTTCATCCTCTCCTATGCGGTTGCAACATGAGGCGGCGTGAGCGGAGGAATTACCCTCGCACCATCATCGTGTTCCGTCTCCTCTGGCCCTGCAAACGCCTTGCCGCAACATCGGCGGAAAAACAATTCCGTAAACACCAAGAAACTCTGGACCATCATGTGCTTCCCAATCGCTGCCGCGGAGACAAGGCGATGGGTCGCACCCAGACGCAACGTCAATTGATGAATGTGCTATTGTTTCCTGTTCTCGCTCGTCACCGCAAAGTCCTCAAATTTCTGCAATGTCGATGCTGCCGGCTCTACGGTCTCGAGCCTAGACATGATCCAAGCCGTACGCGTTACGCTCATCACCACGGCTACGCAAGCGCGCGTGTGAATGATGGCGGCCGTCCTATGTTAGTTATTGGGTCCGACCTCGAAGTGCCATGGATCAGTCTTTGGCTTCCACAAGTTATTGTGCCCATATGTGTTGCTCGTAGGCTTCACCTGCTCATGCAGAACACCTTTTGCACTTGATGATAACCGCATCAAACACAAGGTTTCGCATGCCCCAGCGCGTGCCGGTGCCCAGCCCCAACGCGACCATGCTAGCAAACATGCTCCACACCCTGCCCAACTGCTGGATAGCGACGATGAAGTCGTTGAGGACGCGGCTTATGATTGATCTTTTATTTGAAAAGAGGTCTGGCTCCAGACCTTATGTTCTACACCTCTTTGTGTTCTCAAACACCTGACGGCGCCGTACGTTGGTAGAGGGCATACCGTTGTTGCTCCAAACAACCTCGGTCTGCCACGGCACCGTTTGTGATGGCAATCTGCCTGGCCAACTAACATCCCGAGACCTGTGTTAGATTCGCTCGTAGCTGGGCGGATGTTGACGTCGCCAAGCTGCAAGCGAGATACATCGATATGTTGCAGACAAAACCTCGAAGCTCCGCGGCGCAATGATTCAATGATGCGAGACGGGTCGCCCAGCAGCTCTTCCAATCACCGTGAGCAGGTAAACTAGATTTCGTTACCCTTCGGCAAGTCTTTTGTCATTCTTGCTCATGTGCTCGTTTGGCGGCGCAGCATCATCTTGGAAGGCAAAAGTTGAGTCAGAGAGAACTCGCGGCATTCAGACCGTTCGAGCTGCCTTCGGCTGTCCTGGGGCCTCTGTTGGGCTGCCCACAGCCCCTTCCGAACCGTTCTGGGGGGAGTCTCGGGGCCGTCCACGGGTTCTGGGTCTCGAGCGCTTCGTGAGCGCTTAGGTTTTACGTATCAGCGAGCTAGTGCATCGAAAACCTAGGTTCTTAGAATTGAGCGGCTTCCTTGGACGCCCTCCGGCGCCAGAGCGGAGTCACAATCAGCCTCGACTCTGCCTCCTGTGCATCTCTCTCTCTCTCGTCCTTCCTCTCATTATCCTTCTCTTCCCCTTTCCTCTCCCTCTCCTCCTCGAACTCTCCTCATTATCCTTCCCCGCCTCCTCCACCCCTCCCCACCCTCTTCTTCTCTTCCATTGCCATTTTCGCTTTGTTTCTTATCCTGACCGACTCCTCCTCTTCTGGTCCCCCTCATCATCTTGCTCCTCTCCCTCATCCTCATGCTCCTCCTCCTCCTCCTCAACTCCTCCTGCTCGTCCGCATGCTCATCCTCTATTCTTACTCCCCCTCTCTTCGAACTTTCTCCTTCTCTTCCCTGTTGTCTGTTTGCTTCTCCTTCCGTAGGAGTATAATTTCGATGAGTAGCAGTAGTCGTATAACTCGTCGGAGTAGTGGGAGTGGAAGTGATACTGCAAGAGGGCGTAGGGAACAAGAGTCAGCACTGCAACATGATTATGAGTGAAGGGAGTCGGAGAACACTGCGAACAGAAGTCGGAAACAAACTAGCCAACTCGACAGAGTCAAGGAGATCCGTTATGTCCACCCTACCGTCCTACCGCCCATACCATGACCATCAATGCTACAAGTGGAAATTGGGATTTGCGCGCGCGCTCCCACCTGGCGAACGGAAGGCGCTCTCGCGCAACCCCGCTTCTAGCAACTTTGCGAAGGAAAAAACGTGGGCCGCACATGGGAGGGACCAGAACTCCAATCAAATCTCTGCGCGGCGCTTCGGCGAGAGCACCATTCAGCCTCCTCGTGCGTGGCTAAATTCCCGATAGGAATGGCGAGCAGAAAGCATGAGCCGCGCCGAGTCGGAAACGACACCTAGAAGCGACATCTGCGCGGCGAGTGGGCCCGAGCTGCATGTCGCCCGCTGGCGCGCGGCGCAGCCTTCGCTTCCGACGACTTGGCGAGCGAAGGACATGCGCCGCGACCGAGCGGGGGCACTGCTTCTGGGCCAACTCTGAAAACGAAGGCTCGGGCGAGAACGAGATTTCGCTCGCTCGCGCGCGGCCCTGGTTCCAACGGCAGGGCAGGCAAACTGTTGCGCCGGGCGCAGGCGAGGGCGCGGCTTTCAGGGGAAATGCGCGGCGCTGAGGCGAGAGCCACACATTCATGTCTCGCTGGCGATCTGCGCCGCATGCCCTTCCTGCCACGCAGTGTGCAACGCCGACGACAACATGTAATGTTGAAACGGCCATGCAACCTACGTGTGTATTTTCAACGGGTAAGATGGAACCACCCAGAGGGGGTCACTACCGCTCGCTGGGGCTATCGTGGCCCCCTCCAGGTGCCGTCTTGGGGCGTCTTGGGACCGCTTGATCCCTCGAAGGGCCCTCCGGTGCCGCTTTGCGCCGCCTGGGGGCGATCTCTGGGGGCTTCCCTGGGTGCCCTGGAGAACGAAAAAGGGCGAGCATGCGGCAATGGCATACACGCCCGAGAACAGTCAGCATGCTTTGCCGAGGGCCTCTTGGGAATAGGTTTCCGGGCGGCGCCATCGGAAGTCAAAAGGGGGGTGGCGAGCCAGCCCGGCCGCCTTCCTCGCCGCCGCCGCCCGCGCCGCCCTCGCCTTCGGGAGGGAGAACTCCGCGGGGTGGAGCCTGGGGGGGGAGGGGGAGGGGGGGGGCGGAGAGGCTCCCGGGGATTTCTCGCCGTCCGCGGGCCCGTACGCAGCCACGGGGGCGGGCAGAAAGACAGAGCATGCTCACATCTATGCCCTGATCCTCGTTCGCTCTCTCTTTTTTGTTCGGGGCGGGAGGGGGGGAAGGAACACCCAGCATGAGAGAAACGGATCCTGGGGGAGAGGCTCCCGGAGATTTCTCGCCGTTCTCGGGCCCGTACGCAGCAACTGGAGCGGGCACATAGCATACTCACAATTGTGCCTTGAACCTCCTTCGCTCTCTCTTCGCCTTTGCGGGGGAAGGGGACTGGAGAAGAAGAGAAGGAAAACCCAACGTGAAACAAACAGGTCCTGGAGGAGAGGCTCTCGGAAACTTCTCGCCGTTCACGGGCCCATAAGCAGCCACTGGGGCGAGCAGAAAAACAGAGCATACTCACATCTATGCCTTGATCCTCGTTCGCTCTCTTTGTTGTTGGAAGGGGGAGGGGGGAAGAAGGGACGGAGAGGGCCACGAGGGACCTCAGCGCGCACAAGGACGGTCAAAGCAGGCTCGGGATGAAGAGGTGGTTCCGGGAAGGCCTGGCGTCGAGGACTTGTTTTTCTCAGGACCCCTTGCCTTAATGAAGCCTTAATCGCCTCTCGGGGCCTCTTTTAGGCCTTCTGGAGCCTCTCGGGGGCGTCGTGGAGACGTCTTGGAGGCTCTCGGGCTCGTCGTGGGGCAATTTTGGCCCTGGAGGCCCTCCTGGGCCGTGTTGGGGCGGTCTTGGGGTTTCCTGGTGGCGTTCTCGGAACTCTTTTCTTTTGTGGCGCGGTAGCCGCGGGGTCGCCTCGCAGGCGACAGCCCAGGCGGTCAGGGTCCTTTCAAGCCCTCGAGCGCCGGTAGATCCTGCTCCTCCGCCATCATGTAAGACGTTTCAAGGGCGGTCAGTAGTGCCTCGGTGAGACGCAGCGATGCCCGCGCCTCCTCGTCCTCCACCTCCACCACCTCCTCCTCTTCTCCCCCCCGGTTTCCCTCCCCTGGCGAACCCGCCAACCGACGAAAGAGGAGGCGGGCAGCGTCGCACGTCCTCGCGGCGATAACGCACTAGTGGCTTCTAGCGGCACGGGCGCACTGGCCTGGCCAGGCGAGGATCGAGGGGGATCGAGGAGGAAGAGGAGGATGGCTGGTGTGGTCTAGGAGATCGTTATTACACGGCTGATCCAGCGTGGTTGTTCACGAGCCCGCGGGCGCTTGTGGTACGGCAGCCGCGAGGTCGCCCCGCAGGCGACAACCGAGGCGGTCAGGGTCCTTCCGAGCCCTCGAGCCCCGGTATATCCTGCTCCTCCGCCTTCATTAAAGACGTTTCATGGGCGGTCAATGGTGCCTCGGTGAAACGCAGCGAGACGAGGGTCCTACAACGACGGGCGGGGCAGCTCTACGCGCTCCGAGAGCTGGCGGAGGAAAAACCAAAGCGAACACATGATGCCTACTGCCAAGCTTCCGCAAGCGGCGCCGTGTCACCTTCCCCCATCCCACCTCCATCCTTCCTTTTCCACCTTCCCTGACCCCGCGGACTGCCGCCGTGTGCCACCGCCACTGCGACCAACTGCGGGACGAGGCTAAGGCTCGGGCGACGATTGGCGGACGAAGAGCGGTAGACATATGTTGTATCGCTGTTTCGTTCGCGAAGACAGCGCTGGTGACGGCCGCCGCACAGGTGGGAACAAAAATGGCACAAGCACAAACGCTTGGAGCTCCGAGAGTTCATGTCTGCGCCGATTTTGGTATGACCACGCGATGGAAGCGGCGCTCAGATGAAAACGTCTGCGACTACTGTCACACGATTATCGTGCACGAGTCGGGATGAGGGCGAAGAGCCAGGGGCCATACAGGCAGCTAGACAGGGAGAGGTGGGGGGCGCGGCACACTGGGTAGCGCTGAAGACACAATTGCAGCGTGTGGCAACGAAAAGGCTATGTGATCTTGCCTGGCCGGAAGATTAGAGGACGCATAACAACAAAAGGACCAAAGGAGCTTCTGCGCACGAAGAGCACAGGAGAGTAGCAATGCTCTCCGAGCCCCGAACGCACCGCACTTCGGCAAAACGTAGTAGCGCCCCTCCTCGCCCTCCGCCGCTTCTATCACTACCTCCTGCTCCTCGGACGAGCCTCGCCCTCCCCCACGGCACGGCCGCCCTGGCCGCTCCGCGGCGAGGCACCGCGGAGCACGGCGCGCCAGCACAGCCCGAGATCTGAGCCTCCTTGCGACCGCCAGGGGCCGGCGCCTCCGTGCGGCCGCCGGGCTCCGGGAAGCCGCGCACGGCGCCCGAAGGCGGCCAGGCGGCGGGGGCTCCCTGTGAGGAGCCCAGCGGCGCGGGCTCCCCGGGGCCAGACACGGAGGGCAGATCTCCGGCGAGGCTTCTGAGCGTTCTCGATCCTCCTGTGGGGCTTGGCCCTCGCTCCGAAGAAGCAGCGCCCCGCGCCTCGAATTCCTTCCCGGGCACCTCTTCCTCTGCTGACCAACGATCGTGCCGAGCACGTGGCCGAAGAGCGCAGGGGCGCCCCCCCCAGCGCCGGCCCTCTTTTCGTCGGGGGCCAGGGGCGGGGCGGCCCGCCGCGCCAGTGGGGCTGCCACCCGGCGCTCGCCCGCCCGCTCGCCGCAGGGCACCGCGCGGCGCAAGCCGCGCCCGCGCGGGCCACGGGCCAGTGCCGTCACGGGTTGACTGCGGAGCCCCCGAAGCCGCCACACCTCGCAGCGTGCCCAGGGCCCCGGGTGAGCGGCTGCGCCGCGGGGCCGCTGTAGCTCTCGATGACGGCCGCCTTCGGCGGGCCGCCGCCCACGAAGGAGCAGAGGCAGCCGCCGTCCGCTGGGACCATGGCCTGCGACTCCCACTCGTCGTCCTCGGAGGAGCTGTGCTTCTCCTCCAGGTCGTCCGCGGTGCTCTCGCGGCGGTGCAGCGGCTCTTTCTCGTCGGAGTCCAGAGGGCTGCCCAGGTCCTCCTCCCTGGAGCTGGAGGGCTGGAGAAGCTGGAGCTTCGCGAAGTTGTAGCCCGTGAAGGCCCCGATGTTGCCTATGTACGACGCCACCATCAGCCAGCCCCAGCCGTCTGTCGGGTACGGCTCGAGGCCCAGCCCCATGGCGAGGACGATCGTGACCGCCTTGTTGAAGTTGCCGGCGAAGGCTGTGTGCGTGGCCGACAGCCGCTGCACGATGCCGTACTTGAGCAGGTTGAACCCGAGGGCGAAGACGCCCGACAGGAGGGCCAGGAACACGACGCCCCGGTTGGCGTCCCAGACCTCCGCGAGGACCTCCCAGTCGGTAAGCATGGCCCCGTCCTCCCCCCAAATCACAAAGTGCGGCACGGACATGGCGGGCAGCAAAAGCACCACGGCGGGTAGTGCCGTGTAGATAACGGTATCGAACTCGTCCAGCTTCAGCGTGCTGCCCATGAGGCCAGCCAGAACAAGGTTCGCGGAGCCTGCGAAGCAGGAGGCCACGCACACCGTCACGCCCCAGGCCAGGTTCCTGGACTCGCTGGCGAGGGTGCCTGAGGACTGCGTCTTCGCAACAACGGCGACACAGGCGCAGAAGCACCCGAACAGCATGAGTGACAGCTCCACCAAGCTGGAGTCCTGGGACTTCCCGTCCTTGGTGCACCAGCTCACCAGCTTCTGAGCGAGGAAGGTGGGCAGCGGGAAACACGACCGGATGATGAGATTCACCGAGATGGGTATCAGGGCCATGCTGTAGTTGTTCAGGGCGATGTTCGCGTTGAGCGCACAGGAGAAGAGGAGGACCGCTAAATAGTCCGTCCGCGATGTCAGCCTTTTTGGGACGTACTGGTAGGGCGTACATCTGGACAAAACCATCCACGCCACCATCAGCACAAATCCGGTGAGCTGCTGGAGTCCGGTCACCGCAAATGCCGCCGGGAAGCCGCTCCTCCCCTCGGAGATCGCCTGGTTCGCCAGCACCTCCTTCATGTAGAACATCATGCCCGTCTGCGCCCCGAGGAAGCACAGCAGCCGGCCCGCCGTCTCGGTCCGCCCGCAGAGCAGCAGCCCGAGGCCCACGCCCAGCGCGGCGCTGGGCAGGGCGCACCTCGGGTCGGGCGAAAGGGGGGGATAGCAAAGGGGGGGTTTGAGAATCAGCTCCCGTAGCTGATTTTCCCGGCGCCTCCCGGCGCCGGGAGGCGCCCATGTATCGAGGAATGGGCCCCTCGGGGAGGCCGAAACCAGCTGCACGCAGCAGATTTCGTAACCCCCCCTTTCCCAATCCCCCCCTTCCGCCCGACCCGAGCACCGCTGCAGCAGCGCCTCGTCCATGCTGGCCGGGGCGCGGGCCGAGGCGAGGCTCCGAGGCAGGCCCGCCGCGCTTGGCCCCGGGGCGCCCCCGCGCGCCCGGCGCGCGGGGCCAGCGCGCCACCCGGGGCGGCTCGGGCCGACGCGGCTACGGACGGCGCTCTGGGAACTCTTGGAAGGCCTGCCTCCTCCTCCTCCTCCTCCTCCTCCTCCTCCTCCTCCTCCTCCTCCTCCTCCTCCTCCTCCTCCTCCTCCTCCTCCTCCTCCTCCTCCCCCTCCTCCTCCTCCTCCTCCTCCTCCCTCCCCCCCTTCCCGTGTGCATTACACCCTCCTCCTCAGCTCGCCCCAGCGGCACCCCAAAGAGGGTGCCCAGAGATCCGACGGCTTGCTTTTCCCAAGGCGGGGCTTCCACAGTCCCAGCCCTTTCCGCAGGGCTGGCTTTTCATCCTGAGTCGCTCGGTCCCGGGAGCCCGGCGAGGGCACTCGCGCCGCGATTACACGACGAAGAGAACCGCCCTGATCTTTTCAGTGTGTTGGATCTCTGGGTGTTGTTGGGGCCGACTTACCCGGCCAGGACGGAGCAACATGCCATGCCCCCCAAACGGCTGTTTTTCCTTCACCGCGAGCGTTCCATCCGCGGACGTCCTCCATGCGCCACTCTCGAGCCTGCCCTGGCCGACGTCCGCCATCACGCCACTGCCCGCGAGCATCGCAGGCTCACGAACGAAGGAGGAGCGAGGGAAATGATGATGATAAGGAGGAGATGATGAGCGAGGAGGAGGAGGAGAAGGAGGAGGAGGAGGAGGAGGAGGAGGAGGAGGAGGAGGAGGAGGAGGAGGAAGAGGAGGAGAAAGTACCAAGGCACTGTGCGGAGATCCCCTGCGTCCCGAGCGGCCGCCCAGATGACGCACCACGGCACTCCGAACAAGCACGCACCACGGCACTCCCGTGCCGTGTCCCGCGGCGAAGCACGGCCCGTGCCACCAGCCGGCCACCGACCGCGGCGAGCGGCAGCAGGATAGCGAAGAGCAGCGCGACGACAGCGCCCTCCTGCCGACGCTGACGCTGTAGGCATGAAGGTCGATGTCGACGTTGCCCCCCGGGCCCTGCCCCGGGAACGGTCGCTCTCCCGAGGGGCGCTGATCAAGCCAGATCTGTGGGAAATAGAAACAAGGTGGGCCACGATGGGCGGAGGGCGTTGCAAAGGGCAGCTCCGCCTGCTGCTTGTCCCCCCCCACCAGACGATGCCAAGGGGGGGTCGCCACGGAGGGGGGTCGCCGCTCCCTCCAGGAAAAGCGGGTCCCCCTGGGCCCCCAACGGACGGCCAGAAGCGCTCCAAACTTCCTCAATCCTCGGCCCCCCCTCCCCTGAGATCCGACGGTGCGAAAAAAACAGCATCGCGAAAAATCACGACCGGAGCCCCGGACCTCAACCTTCCCCGTCCTTTTTCGAACCGGATCGATCTGCAATGGTCCCGGGGCCCGTGACTGGGCGGAAACGCCGGGTGCGAAAATGCACCGCCTGGGCCCATAGATCCGACGCCTCGATTTTTTCAAGGCGGGGTCCCCGCAAGACTCGACCCGCGGACCAGCTTTTCATCCAGAGTTGCTTCTTGACGGTCCCAGGGCCGGGCGGGGGCCTCCGGGGGCCGAACGCGGCGAATGACCCCCGTCCCTCGGATCTTACGTCGCACAAGAAACTGCAGCATCGCAAAACATCACGACCAGAGCCCTAGACCTCATCCTTCTCTGCGCCATTCCTCGAGCTGGGCCAATCTGTGAGGGCCCTAGGGCCCGAAAGCGGGCGAGCAACGCCCGGTTCGAAACAGCTGATACGCCAGCATCGCAGGGCCCTCCTCGTTGGCTTTGCCTGGATTCCTCGGCGGGGACGCCTCTGCTCGGCCCACGCGCAGAAGGATGTATGGGGGAGGGAGGAAGGCTTCTTAGAAAGAGGCTGCCTCTTAAAGGCGCCAGCCCTACATGTGCAGACGAGGCCCGCGCCTTCTAAGAAGCAGGGGTGCTTCCAACAAGCCGCCCCCCCCCAACCTTAGGTCGTGCATGTCCTCCTACAGGCGGTTTTTGGTAGAAATAAAATTTACGAAAGAATACCCCCCAATAGTCAACGAATAATTGAAAAATCGTTCCCATACTTTTTCTTGACTATTCTCCAAATAGGCTTGCCCTATAGGAGTCCTAGCTCATCATACATAGTTGGTCTTTAGGACCCCCCCTCATGGCACCCCCCCTTATTTCCAATGGCCCTCCCTTCCCCCCCTTTTGCCGCTTGCCCCCCCCCTTATTTGCAATGGCACCCCCAGCTATTTCCAATGGCGAATCCTATGGATTCGTATGGGTTCCTATGAGTCGTATGGATTCCTATGCCTATGCCAATGTATGAGAGAGCGTGACTCACCGCCGCTTTACTGTGATAATTTATCCACCCTCTTCCTCCGGAACCCAAGGGTCCCCTTCCCCCCTCCGACCCCCCTGCTGGAACCCCCTCCCCCCCCACCTTTTTTCTGGCAAAGCCCCCCCCCTCCACTACCCCCCCCCCTCCGGAAAACCGGCGGGGGTCACTACTGGTTCGAACCGCCCCGCCCTCCCCCTCCAGAAAACGGGGGGGAGGGTCACTACTGGTTGGACTCCTCCCCCCCTCCGGAAAACCGGGGGGGGTCACTACCGGTTCGAACTTCGAACTCCCCTCCCCTCCTCGAAAAGCGGGGATCACTACCAGTTCGAACCCCCCACCCCCTCTCGAAAACCAGGGGGGGTCACTACCGGTTCGAACCCCCCCCCCACGCTCACCGCCAGCACACAACTCTGGGTCCCTACCACCGTCCGCACCACATCCCCCACTGCTGTCCCCAGCACCACTGTCCTCACCACCACTGTCCCCACTGTTCCCACCACCGTCACCACTGTCTTCACCAGTGCCCAGACCACTGTCGCGTTGTCCCCACTGTCCCCACCACTGTTCCCACCACGGTTCCACTCTCCCCACTTTCTCCACGGCCCGAACTACTGTCCCACTGTCCCCACTGTCCCACTGTCCCCGCCGCTGTCCCACGGAGCTGTCCCACTGTTCCCACCACTGCGCCCACTGTCCCCACCACTGTACCTACTGTACCTCTGTCCCACTATCCCACCGCCGTCCTCGCCACCGCCCTCATCACTGTCGCCAACACCACTGTACCCTCCACTGTCCCACTGTTTCTACTACATTCCCACTGTCCCCACACCACTGTCCCCACCACTGTCCCACTATCCCCACTGTTCCCACCATTATCCCCGCTGTCCCCACCAGTGCCCCCCACCAGTGTCTCACTGTCCCCACTGTCCCCACCATTGTCCCACCACGGTCCCACTCTCCCCACTTTCCCCACGGTCCCCACCACTGTCCCACTGTCCCCACTGTTCCCACCACTGTCCCACTGTCCCCGCCGCTGTCCCACTGTGCTGTCCCACCGTCCCCATCACTTTCCCACTGTCCCCGGTGTCCCCACCACTCTCCCAACTGTACGACTGTCCCACCACTGTCCTCACCACCGCCTTCACCACTGTCCCCACCACTACCGTCCCCACCACTGTCCCACTGTCCCCACCACCGTTCCGCTGTCCCCTCGCCACTGTCCCCACCACCACCGTCCCCACCACTGTCCGCACCACTGTCCCACTGTCCCCGCACCACTGTCCCCATCACCACCGTTCCCACCACTGTCCCAACATCCCCACCATTCTTCAACTGTCCCGAAGAGCGGGCATCGTTTGCCGGCGGCGAGGGGGGGGGGTCGAACCGGTAATGACCCCCCCAGTTTTCGAAGGGGGGGGGTAGGGGGGGGTTCGAACCGGTAGTGACCCCTCCCGGTTTTCGAGGGGGAGGGGGGGTTCGAACCGGTAGTGACCCCCCCCCTTTTCATGATGGACTGGGGGGGGGGGGTTCGAACCCGTAGTGACCCCACCCCCCGGTTTTCGAGGAGGGGGGGGGACGGGTTAGGAACCCCCAGTAACCCCGCCAGCAGCGGTAGAACACGCTCTTTCCAGTGTATGTATGCCAATGCCTATGACGATGCCTATGGCGTCGTCGGCGTCGGCCCCGTCGTCGTCGTCGTCGTCGTCGTCGTCGTCGTCGTCGTCGTCGTCGGCGTCGGCCCCGTCGTCGTCGTCGTCGTCGTCGTCGTCGTCGTCGTCGTCGTCGTCGTCGTCGGCCCCGTCGTCGTTGTCCGTCGTCGTCGTCGGCGTCGGCGTCGGCCTCGTCGTCGGCGTCGGCGTCGGCGTCGTCGGCGTCGGTGTGAGCGTCGTCGTCGTCGTCGTCGTCGGCGTCGGCCCCGTCGTCGTCGTCGTCGTCGTCGTCGTCGTCGTCGTCGTCGTCATCATCGTCGACGTCGTCGTCTCGTCATCGTCGTCGGCGTCGTCGTCGTCTTCGGCGTC